CCCGAGCATTGATGAGATAATCAATATACCGCGCATTATTTAAATGCCGGAATGGATCGCAGTCCCCGAAACGGACTGTATAAAAAGATTGCAGGTAAGGTTCCATAACGAATGGGTTATTGGTGATGGATAAGACCAATCGGTCTTATTTTTTGAAAAAAAATATATTTACATGGCGAGGTCGTCTTCTATGTGTTCACGGATACGGTCGAGGATACGGTGCAGGATAGCGGGGTTATCGTTGATCTTTGCCATCACAATTCCCCCTTCAATCAGTGCATACATGTTTTCAGCTTCTTTCTGTGGCTGCACATTGCCGATAAATTCACCATCTCTTTTACCAGCCTGGAAGATTTGAACCAGCGAATTCAACATTTCATTTTGCGCCGCCCTTGCCCTGGTTTTAAGGAATGGAAATGAGTCATCCGCTTCAACGCTTGTATTGAGCAGTGGACAGCCTCCTTCGATGGGTGGATTGGTAATATAACCCCGGTAGAACTGAAGAATGGCAACCAACTTTTCAAGACTGGTTGTGCAGTTACAAATCTTCATTAGAATCGCTGTCTTTACCTTGGAATAGGCATATTCAAAAGTCGTTGCTGCGATCTCATCCTTGTTCCGGAAGTTGCCGTATAATCCTCCCTTTGCCAGCCCTGTTGCTTTCATGATATCTGAAAGACTGGTACCAGCATAGCCGTTTTTATTAAATAACGGCGCGGCTTTTTCAATGATCAACTGCCGGGTCCGTTCACCTTTCGTCATACAGCAAGAAATGTTTGGGTCTTAAAATTAGACCGAACGGTTTTATTTGCAAAATAATTTTTTCTGCGTAGAAAATCGTACCGGATAGTAAGTGAGAAAGAAAGTCAATTTTAAAAGATGGCGCCATCTTTTATCGGGGAGGAATAAAATATAAAACTAAGATTTTCGCCACCCCGAAAACAATGAGTACAATCAATGGTGGATTGTATTTGCTCATCGGGAAGGCTGACCTGTGCAGGTTACTTTTAGTTGTGCAAATGACGATGTGATAAAGGAAAATTAAAACTTGGTTTATGAAAAAGGTATTCTTCCTGATAACTGTACTGCTCATGAGTGGTGCATTGCTGGCCCAGGGAAGTAAAGAAAAAACAGCCCCCAATAAATCATTCCTGGCTGTTCATGCGGGCCCTTCATTTC